GTTTTAGTATATTAGTAATAGTAATAACAGAGTTATATATATGTGTGTATATATATATTTATATATATATACACACACACATATATATGTATATATAATATACATATGTGTACAATGTACGTCGGTTTCAAGTGCATTCGCATTGTGTTGTATAGAGCTTTGCGAGTGGCGTATTGTGCACCATATTAGAGTCAGATTGCACGGATATAACTGAAATGATCGTAGGAATTAGATACGAAGATCGTTACGATTCTCACGCGGATTATGATAGCTTAATTTGAAAACTGTCACTGTACATTATACTGCTTAGAGAAACATCGTGTACATAAAGTAGATAACTGACACACACATAGAGATTTTCCGAAAGACTTGTTTGCAAAAAATCTTCACCACGCCTAAAGCGACTGGTGTTACACGTATTAATTGATGACAATTGGTAAACGGTCATAATTGTTGTTATTTACGTTACTTACACTTATCTCAATCTTAATGATTTGCGCTATTTCTTTGCATGGCCATTTATATTTTATTCGCTAATGTCTTACATTTTTTAAATCACTTATGATATTATTTTATTCGTATAATTCATTCAAATCAGTACGTCTACTCTTGTATCTCGCTCTCTCTCTCTCTCTCTCTCTCTCTCTCTCTCTCTCTCTCTCTCTCTCTCTCTCTCTATTCCTTCTCTATCTCTCGATATAATCAACGAATGAACCGTATAATTATAGCATATTTCAATAATCGTCTTTGCCTGTCTAGGATAAGCAAAGACTAAAATATTTTACGTACAATATTTTTAGTTTTCAATCAATTATTCTTTGAAATTGTTACTAATGTTCACATCACATAAAATTTTATCTTCAAACATTTTTTGCTTATTAAAAAAAAATCATAAGTTATATTATTATAACATACAATATAAAAAATAATAATCATTTTGTGTGTGTGAAGTTATAATGATAGAAAAAAGAATTAATAATACATAAGGTTAATAATATAATTTTTAAACGCATATATAAAATGACCAAAGAAATATGTACGTGTTAAGTAGAAGTAGTGTTTAAAGAAGTTATTTTATACTTATATGTTTTGCGTGAGATAAATGTGCTAATTTCTGTATTAAACAGCTGATCTTGCATATGCGTGATATTAAATCAAAAGATCTTTTTGTGTAAGTTTTGTGATAAAAATAAAGGTTGAAAAGTTTTTATTTGAGCAATGAGAAAATAAATCATTGAGAAGAAAGCTATAAACAGTAAATTAGATTGATTACCAGAAACTGTTTTTATGATATAATATTTAAATTAGGGATACGCGCGCTCCAATCAGTTGATTTAAAAACATAAGTATATTTTTTCTTCTCTTCAGCAAACAGTTATTATTATCATTAGAATCGAGAAAGAATTATATTTTTACTTTGATAAAAAAAAGTGTCGATCAGTGATGGAATCGTGTTTAAATTCTCATTGAGTATATGTGATTTCACACGATTTTGTCTACATATTTGTCGTATAACGATTCGACGCAAATAACCATGGCAGGTCCAATGACCGCGGCATTCGTGCAATCGATTACCACAGTGTGGAAACACATATCTCTCTCTTCTTTCATAATATATTTCTCTCTTTTTCTTCAGTAAAAAGAAAGGCGAAGCGCACGTTCTTATTGATCCCGCGACTGTGCTAATAATTCATTCAACGAATGCCATAGTCTTATCAACGAATTCCGTATTGGTGTCCTCATATCCAATCATCCGATCACCTATTATCTCTTCGAATTATTCTTTTTCCATCAAGCACTTTGATTACCATCTTATCAGGATTCAGAAAAAAGGAGAAAGTATATCAAAAAGGAATAATAAAAATCCAAGAAAAAGATAAAGGAGCAAGAGAGTAAAATAGAATAAATTAGAGTTCTAGGAATCTGTAGTATACACATAGATAAGTTATACAATTAAATTATATACAATAGAAAGCGTATAATAAACTATTTACACAATTACAGTTAATAAATTAAGGTGTAAAGGTTAAAAATAGACAAATATTAAAGATCTTGAACACTAAGAGCAACATTACTGAGAAAGTTAATGCTAATGAGACAGTTGAGAGAAATCCTGAGGGAATCTTAGAAAGTTAGATAGGAAGTAAGAGAAAGCAAGTGATGGGGAGAGCGAGACGCGAGAATGTATGTACGCACATACGCTCATAGACAAACAGGTATATATATATATATATATATATATATATATATATATATAGCATACATACTCTTAAACATTACAGAACCAGACGCGCGAGATGTGTTTATCGATTTATCGTTGTGGTGTATTGCGCGCCACGTACGTGCGTGAGCGAGTGCATTTCCACTAATGCATACGCTATATTGGGCATATAAGATTTATGATGCTGGAGCTTATCGTTTCTCTCTCTCTCTCTCTCTCTCTCTCTCATTCGCTCGCCAAATCGAACATACGAGATCAGCGAAGAAGAATGGGGTAACACCGTCTCTTTGGAAATTTCGGAAGAAGAAAATCTTGAAGTCTCGCATCGTGATCTCTTTTGAAGAGTCGCTGGAGAACGCATTGCAAAGATTTCGATTTGATGGAAATGAGGAATATTGTTACCCGGTTGTGTTTTCGCAGCGAGCACAGGTGTACGGAGACATCGTTCTCTCCCCCCCCCCTCTCCTCTCTCTCTCTCACACATTTCCTTTTCGCATATGATGATTTCGCGAGAATCTCATTCGTACTGACGTAAGAGCATCTGCTTGCTGGCAGATACGTCTTAGTTTTACGGAAATAATATTCTGTCTTAGGTACGGTCTCATTAATTGGCTGATCTATTCTGTACCTTTCGAGAATTAATCGGTCGTGTTTGATCATTCTATCGTTCATTGTGCCACTTTACCGTCATTGTTACACAGCCAGGTATAGAATACATCCGCCGTGTGGTGACCAAACATAATCGAAGTATGATTAAGCGCTGATCAAGCATCTTTGTTGTTGAAGAGGAATAAATTTGAATAATGAAATACCAGTATATATATATATATATATATGTGATTTTTTATTTTTATCTAGATTTGCGTTTAATTTTGGACCCTGCGACGTAAAGTGATTATTTATCGCGTTTAGATAGCGTGCGTACGCTGCCGTTCGCATGTATCACATATACGTACACATCTCACATATATATACGTACGATCAATGGAGAACACAATCTGCGATTAATCGTTTTTGTGCCAATTTACTCTTTCGCGATATCTCGTTTAATCGTTTTCAACAAACGAAAGATTGATTATTGCTGTATAGTTAGGCTATATGATAGAGAAACCTGTTAAAATAGAACTTTTGTGTTTCTTATATTTGCTTTCATACGAAAGAAACTACATGAATACTACATACATACGCACATGCACCAGCACGTATCCATATACCCTGCACGTACGTGACAGAATTATTCAATTCTATACATGTGTAATCCTTTGTAAAAGTAACATCGAAGATTCACGATTGGAACGTCGGACGTTTAAAAGGGTTGTCTCGAGCCCACGACGCGCAAAAATCTAATTAGTAGGAAACATATATTATATAATGTCTCGCGTTTTTATTTATTTGTCAGTAGATCTGCCGATGATCTTCAACGTTGGTTGGTGTTGACGTAACCGATAAGTCACGGTGTTCGTAGAGTTTTCCTTCCTCCTTCGATCGCGTACCTCCCATCGCAATCATGCATGCGACACGTATAAATGTGCACACAATTGAACACTTCGATTTACATTCTGTGCGATTGTGCGTCCTTTATATTCGTAGCGATGTTGTTCTCAGATAGCGTACTATGAAATTTGCAACTCGTCCAATTATTTTTCCATGATGAAACTGAATATATATCTACACAAACGTGTGTGCATGCTGCGTTGCATATATATGCAAATTTGGATTGTCATGCCTTTTGTAAACGTGACAAGAGATTAGGCACGGAAATAATACTTGCTTCATCCACAGTCAGCATGTTTCTCCTGCTTGCGGGTTTCGCCTGCTATCCTCGTATTCTTTTGTGAAAGAACGATCAGTAAAAAAAAAAAATGCGCAGGAGTGGAGAAAGAAGCGATATTCTGCCTCTTGGTCTTCGAAACGATTCGCTTTGTAAGGTAAGTCATAAGTTCGAGAGTAGTAATCTGTGCGCGTAGAGGATTATATTCCCTTGGCCAGCCAAGCGAACAGTAGATTTTTCGTTGATCTGTCACATGCAGCATGTACAAGGTCCGTGTAAGTTGGTATGAGTTGTGTGTAAAAGTAATAGAATTCGAGATTCTGCTCGTTAAGGGAGACTTGTTTAATAGATTTTCCTAGTGATTGAAATGTTCAAAGTACTATATCTCAGTGAGATTTTTCATACTCTAGTTCTACCATTTAATAACGTAGAAAGAAAAATTTTCTAGAGTTTTAACATTTTTTAAAAAGTTCATCTTTAATCAGTTATGGATCTCGCGTATCCAAAATGACTTACAATACGATGTATCTCGTGTTTTTGTAAAGAGGTAAAGTTGTATATTGATTTGACGGTCGCAAAAAGGTCAATTTTTTGGAAGATAACAATTCTGAAGGAATATATACGAATTCAGAGACGCGCGCTATCTCTGCTTCTCGTTTCTTATTCTTCACACGTGCGATTCTGCAGTTTCCAGTGCTCGCTTTGTATTCCGAAAAAATCAGCTGGAAAACTTTTTTCGATCTGAAACGCAAACTTCTCATCTTGTCGTAAACTCCTCGCATTTCCGATTCTATCTTTCGCAAATGTTTCCGCGGCATTGTAAAATTTCACCTTCCTCTCCTTATGATTAAAGTTTCTCTCGAGGATAACTCGAGGAAAGAGATCGGATGTTGGGCGATGCGATCGAGAGAACATCCTCGGAGTACTATCGGTATATATTCTCATACCCGAGGACGGAAAATATAATTATCGTTAGCGTCCCTCTTGGACGACGCTGTATTGTGTTGCTCACTTAAACAATATTCGGCGAAAAGCACGGCGGAAGTCCTTATTGAAGACTGTGTAAATGAAGGGATTCAACGCTGAATTGGTGTAGCCGAGCCAGAAAGCGATTACAAAGGCCTGCGAGGGTATTTCGAAATCAGGAAAGAGTGGTTTGACGATGTAAAGAACAAAGAAGGGCAGCCAACAAGCGATAAAGCTGCCCATTATGAAACCCAGTATCATCGTGGCGCGCTTTTCTTTCTTTCTTGCCAGCCTCCTCTTCTCTCTCTCCGGATCGCGCTGTTTCATCTTGCCGTCGGACTCGTCCTTGCCCGCGTGACGCCCGACATCAGCGTGCTCCCTCTTCGACTTACCTACGTGCTTGCGGCCGAAGATCGGCTGGCACAGTCGCAACTTGAGCGGTTTTACCACCGCGCATCTCGACACCACGCCACTATCCGATGACGAGGGATCAAACTCGGACACCATGTCAACGTCGATGCCAACGCTGGGCGCCCGGCATCGCGCCGCTGCCGTCGCAGCCGCTGCCGTCGGTATATTCTGACCTCCGGTCTGTCCGTCCCCGTTCACTGACAGGGTCGCTTTCAGACTGCTCTTCTGCGCCGGTACCGGTATACTCACCTGCGACAAAATGTGTGACCGTAAGTACATTATAGACATCCTTTTTCATTCCATTTTATAATCATTATTTCTTAAATTTCTTTCCTTTCTATATATGTATAAGTATAGTTATTAAATATAAATCTGATGCAGTAACGGATTTAAATAGAGACCCACGAGGCCCGGCCCGGACGTAATAAAGGCGCCATCCTTCTAGGAAACAAAATTAAAGTTAATTTTGTATTTGTGCAGGATTGCCAGTTGTGGTGCATTTTCGTCAATGTGGCATCTTAAAGTAGTGCTTTGGTGAAAAAGTGATATCTTTCGACGGTATAGCCAACTCGTCGAACTTTTTATTGTTCATTCGTCTGAAAGGGGCGCCAAGAAGTATAGAGCCTAGGATAGAAAAATATGCAAATCCGCCACTAATCTGATATTTTTAATTACTGCGGTAAATAAGTTCTTTATTTGAGAAAGTTAAATGGAAAATATATCTCCAGTTTGAGTTCAATTTTTAGTGTTAAAATTTATATAAAATTAAACTTAAAGTAGGCAATCATGAAGTAATCGCTGCACATTTTATGCACGTGCATACATGCGATATAACAGTCGCCATATCAGCACTGTCAGCGCTGCGTGGGCATATTACTTTGCTAGAACAGGTTCTTTGCAACTTTTTAGATACGCAACATTATAAACTGTTAGTTTTCAGATAAGATTTTGAATATGCAGTAAATTTGTGTGAAACATGTTGAAAATCAATTCAAAGAAATTTACATGTTGAAAATCGCGAAAAAATTTTCAACAATCATATTTTGAGTTTTTATAAAATATAAAAGTTAATTTAAATAATGTTATAGAAATTTACTAAAAAACGATAAACGTAATAGAATATTGTAATATTCTATAGGTGTTGTAATATTTTAAATTGTGAAATCAAGAGCAAATGATTTATTTTTTCTTTTTGTTAGAGAGAGTTAGTCAGTTATACATGTAAATTTCTTTAAATCTCAGAAATCTGATAAAATTGCACGTTACGTGCGTCTATTCTTATGTATGTGCATGCGACGTATGATTTTCATACGAATGGGCAAGATTATCACGAGACTCTTTGACATGCAGCTGTTATATACGAAGCCCGAGGTAACAAAGGCGGGCGTGTTCTTGCGCTCAAGTTTGAATGAGAATTCGTGTAATTGCGCGACAGTCGGAATGGGAAACTCATCCCCGTGCAATTATCTCCCTGCCTCGGTATAAAACTGTATTTTCGTACGTAATTACAAACGCGACTTCGCTCAGGCATACGAATTTTCCTCAGTATGCACCGCTGCATAATCTTGACAAACGAATGGAGTCCAATCTTCTTTCGCAACGAGATTTAATGCTTAACACAAAAAGCGATTTATTCTCCGCAAATGTATTGACATAAGGAAATACTTCACGCAGTTTAAAAGCTGTACTATAGAATGGAACAAAACAGATATGGCGAAAAGCTTCAATATGTCTCTCACTGGAAACAGTGCATATCCATTTGCCGTAATGTGAGTTATCCTATATAAATATTATTCAATAGAATGTCGATAAAGTTAGTAACTTTGATGCGTAATTTATAAACCTAACTTAACCCATCATCGTATAAGCGCGTATATGTATGTACCTACATATCTGAATATTGATTGACGTATCGTATCTCGATAGAGAATATCTCCATGTTGTCAGAGAGAGAGAGAGAGCGAGAGAGAGAGAGAGAGAGAGAGAGAGAGAGAGAATGCGCGTGCGTGTCATATATTAATTTTATAATGTTTAACGTAAAGCAATACGATTGTCATCGGTAGAATATTCTCGATATGTGAGCTCCAATTTATCAAGATATCGAAGTATATATATGTAGTTTACGCGAAAAACGATAAAAGACTATATAATCTGATGGGATATGGCAAGAGACATTCGTATTTAGATCGATTGATCGCATATCCTGATCCGCGATAGTGATACTGCTGCCGTATTATGATATACCCCCTTTTGCGCTGGAATCTTTGTCCAATTCAGCTCCACGAACTGTATTCCAACACGAGATATCTGATTCCGAAGATTTACTCTGGTTCTATTTTTACGGTTCATATACGAGATATTGACGAAATATGATAAGAGTCATGGGGGTGAATAATGTTGGTATGTCCGTACAAAAAAAAGAATAATGATAGAAGAATGTGTGATAAGAAAGGCACTCTCTAAATTCGAATATTTCCTTGATATAATTTTAATATATATTTATCAAACTTTGCGCTTTAATTAATTACGTGATTACGTATTACGAATAACATAGTTTAATAGATGTTAAATTTGAGATTGCTACAAATTAAAATTGTCAATCGTAACTCAGAATTATAATATATTGAGAAAGAATTATATACTCTAGAAGTCTAGAGTTAATTATTTTATTGGAGATTAAATTAGAAGCATTCACCGTAAAGGCATTTTGTATGAAAAAATTTCTTGAATTTGAGGAACGAAATTAAATATCGCACAAAATATGTATTGTATAAAAGAAGTATGTATTATATAATATGATTTCCATCGTAAATATTACAGTATTTTTATAATATTTCTATAAAATTTTTTTCTGAAACTAATGTACCTATCTATAATACTATGAATTAATAATTGATGTGTATATTTCTTGATATACTTTTATTGAAAATTTTAAATTTTATTTCGATTGTAGAAATATTGTTGAAATGGTTAGAAATTCTACCTTCAGCGTGTCTTTCTCTTCCATTGGTATACTAGTGCCTCCGCCAGGATCAGCTTCCGACGTGCTGACGTCACTAGCGAAGTCACATGTGACAATCGGTATCTGGACCGGCTGGTTCTCGATGGTGGCAACGTTTTCCATAACTGATCCCGGAGGCTTCTTAGTGTCGGTTGCCGGCGTGCTCTGAGTGAAACTGGTCTGCCTGATATCAGGCGATTCCGGCGGTACTACACGTGGACGGGGCTGCTTCCGGATGCCGCGACGCGCGCGAGCCTTGGCAGCGAAGTATATACGTATGTACACAAAGACCATGATGCAAGATGGGATGTAAAAGCTTCCTAGAGCAGAGTAAAGGACATACCCGATGTCCTCCGATAGCTGAAACAAAGAGAAAAGCATATTTTTCATTTCAATATATACTTTTATATACATTTTGTAACAATTTGAAATTAAAACAATTTCAGATGTAATCTCTTTACGGACTCTCTTGATTAAAAAAAACCATAAATTCCTGTAATACGGGACGAATGAGAGTGCAGCGTTGTTGTTGATGCGCAATCAATAATAAGTGGATTTATTTAAATCCTTTGTTCCACATAAATACAGATTTAATAAATACAGATGTAATAAAAGTCACAGATTTAATGTTGAAATATCTTACAAAATACAAAGAAGATGTCTTAAAAAAGTCGACTGAATCGATCACATTACAAGATATAATTTAATCTTCTATTATTGAAATAACAAGATGTCTAAGATAGTTATTTTATAAGATAGTTACTTTAAGACATCTTCTTTGTATTTTGTAAGATATCTCAACATTAAATCTGTGATGTGACTCATTATAAAAATCGCAAAGGAGAATAAGCTGCATTAGCTGAGGATGACTCTAAAAAGAGTCGAAACGTTTGTATTTATAAAGGATTTAAATAAATCCACTTATTATTAATTGCGTATCAACAACAATGCTGCAGTCTCATTCGCCTCCTATCACAGGAATTCATGGTAATTTGAAATTAATTTTAGTATCAACTTTAATTTTAATATTTATATTAATTTCTAACTTTTCTGGTTCAGCACTCTTTAATACACATGTAACATTTATTACAGACAAAAGAAAACGCGCGTTTTAATAGCTGTGCGCGAATATGTTAACTCTATGTCCACTTTTACATTTTCTTGTTATTGAGTAAATATGTAGGTATATTTCGAGATTAACAGATGTATTATACTTCATTGTCACTTTATATATGTAAATATATATATATATATATCGGCCAATATTTAACGAATTTGCTGGTTATATGGGTCAATTGATTTTCTGTTGTCATTCGCACGACATGTTCGATATCTGTAAGTGGGTACAATAGTTCTTCGAAATAAATCCCCGGTTTTGGAAAGCACTCTAACTTTGGCGCTCTATTTCTGAGAAGATCTGATTTCGATGTCGAGGATGCACAACACTTTTATAGTGGCGTTCAGAATGTGCTTAACTAGGTTTACACCGTCGTCGCGACGCGCGTCGGTATGTCCTGTATAGGTGCAACGGACTGCGTTACAATCTCGCTTTAAGAGTCCCGCGCACTTTCATGGGACGTGAATATGAGTGCTAGAATTTAATTTTACTCTTCTCTCTCTCTCTCTCTCTCTCCCTCTGTCTCTGTCTCTCAATTCGCGATGCAACGTGCGGTCGCGCGTATAACGCAGGCTTAAACTATATTCAAATTTATGTCGCCACATAACTCGCGTGCGAACGCGTTTCCTAGCATGCCTTTAACTTTACATGCACTAATATGATTACTGTTAGTAAGTGCAGTATAGCCTTAGTATCTGAGAAGTAAACTTGGTAGCGCGCTACTTGCCGTAATATCTCGTCACATCGGATTACGAACGTGCGATTAAGCGAATGATTTATATTAAATGCGCAGTACAATTATATTATATGTATTGTATACATATAAAGAAAAAAACTTGACATGTGTACAAAGTATATACCTAGATTATAATATTTTTACAAGTATATTAGCATATTTATAAATTATTTTTAAAAATTAATATTAAATTGAGATATAGAAACTTGTAAATTTTTCTATAAACGTATATATTGTGTCATTTCTGGAGAAAATATAGAGAAAATTAAGAAGTATAATATCTTTGAATGAGAGCTATTTCGTGCATACTTTTTACCAAAGCTTTTAGTTTTGTCTATGCTTTTAGCAGAATATTCACTTACAATTCATCCCTGAATTGTGCTGTACAATGGGCTCCGAAAGGACAGACTTCCATTAGGAGAGAAACAGATTCAGAAATTTTAGCTCGTAACTAGGTTAATTAGGTAATTTTAATTTAAGAATTTATTTATACGTAATATTCGTTTTCATATCCTTTTTATCTTGTTCCGAAATACATGCCGCAGAATATTGATATAAATAACGTGAATGTTGACATTGTCATCATGCACATTTTTCCAGGATTTAATTGAAGCATTTGTATTGCTACAGTAAATTACTCGTTTATCAACTTTATATCATAACAATTGTATTTTGTATAGATACGTGCAAAGTGCATTAGATAATCAACATTGAAGTATCAAATTAAATAGATTTAAAAATAAAAGACCTTATTTAATACTTGATAGATTCGTATTAATTTCTTATTGTTAGAATCACTCGTGGAAAGCGGAAATTAAACGATTGTGGCGTGAATTTAAATTCTTAGAAAACACTTAAACTCTCTGCGCGTTTTTGTTTCACTGCTTTTTATCATTTCCTCTCTTTCTTGCATCTTCTGTACGCATCTTGGCAACAAAATGCTCTCTCATCACGACAAGAAAAAAATTTTCAAAGGTACAGGACCATGGACGCAAATGCGCGAGATAATGAGCAATTTCTTCAGCTCAGGATTTATAAAAGCGCGAAAGTCAATGTATAGTGTCAAGCAGCTTATTTGTCGGTACAACGCCATCGTGAAAATATAAATTTACCTTTGTCTTCTCATGTTGAGAAGACTAGTAGAAGTTTGCAAAATAATTTTAATCGTCACAGTACTCCGTGAAGAAAAAAGTATTTATTTTCAGAAAAAATTCTTCATTCGTAAAAGTTTCAGCTGACATAGACAGTTAAATTGTTAACAAGATAATTATCTTAAATCTCAATCATTAATTTTAAAAACTCTTAAAAAAATTTCTTCTTTTTTTCTGTGTTGTGAAAAAAAGTTATTAATTATATTTTCCAAAAAATTATATCTTATGAAATAGAATTTTATTAAAACAAAAGTGTTTAAAGAAAGAATATTCATTGTAGTTTTCTTAGTAATAGAGGTAATTTAAAGTCTAGGCGAATTATTTCTCCACTTTAAAAGAATTCTCTCCATTTGGGTATGGAATTGAAGAGCAAGCTGGAGAGTCATCGAGGCAGGTAATCCGATGTCATTTTCGTCGAATAAAAATTATTCACGCTTTCCGTCGTTCGCGAGATTTGCACATTTACATTTTGATGATCTATCAGAGTAAAAAAAAAGATTTACTGTGATTTGTGGTTCAGCAAGAATTCCAAACCAATAATCTTGTCGCATAACGAGCCATTAATACAAACTTATGAATACACACGAAATAACAAACAATTCCACAAATGAAAATTCATGAAAAATATGAATAGTAAAGATGGCGTGAGTGGAAGCGAATCGTATGTAACCAGACAATGTAGACTGAAAGCGGAATTCGTCGGAAAAACCATCAGAAATCTGTGAAACGTTCCTAAAAGAGATACCTGTCACATTGTTTCGTTGATGGAAAAACAAAAATAGTGCCGATACTGTAATTGGATCATGGAATCATGTCGAATGTCAAAGATATAAGGAGGATTGCCGATTGCTTTAGATAAACATATCCATTACGAGTGTAGGTGAACAGTCAAGGACGTGTTTAGGGTGTTTGCACGTATCAGTCTAACAATAAGATTGAAAGTATGAATTCGTGTGCTATCTATAATCTATACCATTATGGTAAGATAAAATATTACTTTGGAGGAAACTTTATCAAACATGTCGAATTTAAAATTTCGTATATCTAAATAATCCAAACTACGTTACGTTGAAAAGGGATCTTAAAGAAAAAAAAGCAAGAGAGGGGGAGAGAAGATGAAAAATGATTCGGCACGTTTACCATTCAATTTATAATACGTAATCTTTGCTATTCTTATCTGACGTCTTTACCCGTATGTCAGGTACAATATATGCCGAAAACACATAACTTGCGCGCAAATATACATGGCGCGGCGCGGCGCGTGTGCCTGTGATAAATTGATTGTCTTTAGTTTTGTGCGTTCTTGTGGTAGAAAGAGAATGATAGGACAAATGAGGTTAGAAATAACCGGTGTGAAAAGCCGACAAGAAAAAATGAGAACATTAAAGACGGACAAGTATTTTACTTCTGAATGGGAAAGTGGAAGGATTGGAGAATTGTTCCGATATATTAAGCGCTCTTCGATTTTTTAAATAAAAGCTTTGGAACTTGTAGCTCCAGCATGAGTAAAATAATAAGTAAATATCGATCACTGACTTCAAGATATTGTATTATTAAAGAGAAAACGTTTTTCAGATACCTATAGATAAATAATGCGTTAGAGATAAAATCAGTCATCTATTTAAAAAAATTCTGCCAAGTAAGCAATAGGATATATTGTAACATTGTTAGACAAAAGATATATACATGTATATATTGCTCTCTTTATTTATCTTAAAAATAAACAGATGCCCATTTGCGCTCGATGACACATCGAGCGGCCAAAAAGAATTGGCTTATCGGCGCTCCATATACATATATGGATATCGAACGTTTTGGAATGTTAAAGGTTAAAGGCGTGCAATTTTGAAGCGGAGTTGCAAACGCCCATTCGTCCTACTTCCTTTATGCTTGCCGGACGTTGTATAATTAGGATTGGATGGAAAATTGGGGCAAGTGGTGTACTGGAAGCTTCTCGTTTGCACTGGTTGGCTACAGTGTCAAGGGCAAGCTGATATGCAAAGCGATTAATGTGACTTGAAGTAGGAAAGAGAGAAATTGTGTTTGTACATACACTATGCCGGTTACATTTATACTATGGTAGTTTATCCTACGGTAGACTATATTACAAAGGCATGCTATTCACTGAAGTCTAAGCACGTTCATATAGGTACGTCTCATAGAATCTGGTATGCACGACATATATGTATTAGTGAAAAAAATATTAAATTATATCCTTATGCCGCGCGTTATGCTGACAATAAGTGTGTATAATAGCTACCGTTTGCGAAACACAAACGGTAAACGAAGAATATTCTTGCTCGTTCTTTCAAATGATTTCATTTTTTGGTCCAATTTCCTCTTTTTATCCATTTCG